TATATATATATATATATAAATCCACTGAATTACCGCTGAGCCACGTGGGGAGGGGGGGGAGGGCAAGTATGAAATTATAATAGGATATTGTCTTTCTTTAAACCACAGTATTATTTATTCCATGGGATATTTACACTACAGAGTATTTCGTTATATGAATATAGTACTGAGTCCTGTAACAACAACAAAACTGAAAAGAAATATAATCTCCAGACTAACAGATTTGCCACCATACAAGATTCATCGCTCCTTACAGAGTTTTATTTCAAGCTAAGATACTATTACGAAATTGAGAAGCCAGTTTCTTTGTTACAGCGTCATAATTCATACTTTTCTTTCTCTATTAGATCTTACATTATTTTGTTTTTTAAATGTTTGCAAAAAATAGTGTAAATGCTGTATGTAACAACATTATATTGTCATGAATATCGCATAAACACAGTGGCTCATCTAATGTGTTTTATTTCATGTGTAAAACAAAAACATTGCTGAGTAAACCTGAGATACAAGTTCAAAAATATAACATGTTGTTTTCAGTGGCACAATTTCAAAAGCAACCGAACTTTGTTATCTCCAAATAAACAATACTGTTTCTAACCTGGCCTAGTGGTCAGGGCCCTTGTTATCTCCCAATAAGAAATACTGTTTCCAACTTGGCCTGTTGGTTAGGGCCCTTGCTATCTCCCAAGAAACAACAGTGTTTCTAACTTGGCCTGGTGGTTAGGGCCCTTGTTATCTCCCAAGAAGCAACAGTGTTTCTAACTTGGCCTGGTGGTTAGGGCCCTTGTTATCTCCCAATAAGCAATACTGTTTCCAACTTGGCCTGGTGGTTAGGGCCCTTGTTATCTCCCAATAAGCAATACTGTTTCCAACATGGCCTGATGGTTTGGGCTCTTAACTCACAATCTGCGGTTTGCAGGCCCAAATCCCATCACTGAATATGCTCACCTTTTCCGGAGTGTTATAATGTGTTATCAGTTCCACTATTCGATTAGAGTAGCCGAAGAATTGCGGTGGATGGTGTTGTTATTCCCTCTAGTCTAATACTTCTGAACTGTTTTGGTGACGGCTTTTTTCGAAATTCAATAAACAAATCGTTTCTAACTTCAATGATGTTAACGCGTAAAACTATAAGAAACTAAAGTTACCTAGTTTACCCTGCAAGAACTTTTAACCAGATATGTGTTTTCTTTTTTATATTTTGGGATTAACCAATTTACATGACAACAAAAACTGAGAAATAAGTTATTTTCGCCGTTATTGAGGCCACCAGCATTTATCAAAACATAATTTTAGTGCTGATAATTGCTATTGTTAAAGCCAAATAACAGTAATCAAGTCTTTAATAAAGAGTTAGACCAAATGAGTTACTAACCCTATCAATTTTAAATACCAGAGAATAATCAAACTTTTAGCACTTAATTCGGATAAATTTATTTAACATACTGATTTAGTGTTACCCCTCCTATACATCTGTTAATGTATAATGATAGGTTATCATTAGGATTACTACTAAATTATGTGTTTTAACACAAATGTATAACTAAGGACACGTTCAAATATGTTAATTTGACACTAAAATATAGAACAGGTGCATATACATAGATATTTAGTCTTAACTTTCAGCCGTTTAAAAAAAGTTTTCTAGTAAATTATCGCGTTATAAATTATCTTTTGGTTCCTAGTACCATGAGTACTTGATTGCTTGTTGTTATAGCAAAGCCGCATTGGGGTATCTTCTGTGTCCACTGCGGGGACTAGAGCCCCGGATTTTAGCATCGTAATATGTTGGTTTACCGCTGTCCCACCGAGGGACAGCTCAAGTACGATTCCAAACACATGAATGAAAGCTAAATTAGATCTAGTTTTTAACTTCAGCTGCCGAAATATATCAGTATTGGCATGGATGCATTTCTTTTATTATTTCTCTTTGTTTACGAGAAGACGAGCAAGCATAATATTTTGTTTGTTTGTTGTTAAGCACAAAGCTACACAATGGGCTGTGTGTGTGATGTGCCCACCGCGAGTATCGAAACCCGATTTTTAGTATTATAAGCCCTCAGACTTACCACTGAGCCACCGGGGCGCGCGCACGGGAGTACAACATGATAATTATTTTACTTATTATACTCAGAAATTTTAAAACAAGTTTTTTAGCATATGAATGTTCTCAGAAAACTTGGCAACATAAGCATTTGTATATGTAAAAGCTGACTATGAACATGATTAACGTATTAACATAAAAAAGAAGACATGACGTTCTAGAACAACTTCAATTTTCTGTTCCAAGTAAATCTTATTTGATGAGAATAATAGCTTTCTCGCGCATTCGTTGTTCGAGTATTCGTCGCGTGAAACGAACAGCCTCAAATCTGTGGGACTTGTCTCGTACACAAAGGCCAGCTACCACCTTGAAGAGCCACTCGTGGCGGCGCGCAGAAATTGAGCAGTGATTGCTGGATCACAGATCGCTTTGTTGTTAAACTATACAGCGTCCAGACTGGCAAAGATCAACTACACGAGCAATAGACGAACGCCCGTTTACCCGAATGTGTCACTAACACCCTAGCACTATTGTCGTCTAAATCCTTGAGATGCACGAGGGATTCAACTTTTACAATTAAGTCTATATCTGTGAATCTATTTCTTTTGTATTTTTTGTCGTAAGCTAATAAAGTTTAGTTATTGTTATTTGCATACGAATAGAGACCGAAGATTTTTTTAATGTATGTAGCCTACGTAACAGAATTAACCACTTGGAGCTTTATCGTAGTATTGTTCGTTTTAAATCTTTGCTATCATGTTGTAACCAACATACCATCAGTTTATGTAATCTGGTACCATGTGAAACCTAACATTTAGAGCGGTTTCAAGTCGTTTGTGACTTCCACTGAATATAGTAGACTGTTTAAACAACGTCAATAACGAATAAAGAGTTAGATCAAAAGCTTTAATAACCCAATCAGTTTTAAATACTAGAGGAAAACTAAATGTTTAGCACCTAAGTTGGATAATTGTTTGAACTATTTAGCTTCTTGGCTAAAATCTCTACAACTTCTTTGTTATATTGTCATAATTAAGTAAGTTTTCTTTGTCTATTAGTTCAAACTTTTGAGTGTATGTGTGTGTCTGTTTGCATGACTAGTATAAATGCTGTATTTAATATTATATCGTCATGAATATTTTACAGACACAGTGATTCATCTACTATGTTCTATTTCATGTTGAAAAAGTAAACTTTTCATACTGGTAAAGATAGTGTGTATTTGTGTTTGTGTTACATTCGAATCCGGGCCCTACCACGCTGGGCAACTCTAAAAACCGTACCACCAATAGTGTTTCATTTCTATTTTTGGGGAGTTTATATGTCCTCCCCATCTTGCAACAAAATACCTGAGAGCTAGCCAGTGGCTTAGACAAGTCTTAAAATTTGCCAGGGCACCAAAAGTGTATTCTCACATTGCAGACGCCCCTCGCTGACGCAGCAGTAAGCTTGAGGACTTATGAAGCAGAAATCCAGGGTTCGATTCCCCACGATGATCACAGTTTAGATAACCCTTTTTGTAGCTTCACGCTAGAACAACAACATGCCAAAATTTGAAAAATCCATTTCAAATACCCGGTTAAATCAGTTTAACGTGTAAGTATGACTTCCATTGTCAACAATACCATCGGCACATAGACTAAGATACCCTTAAATCTCACGAAAGTCTCGAGATCATTTTTGGGTTTTCTTACTTCACTAATAACAGGTTTACACTACTTTATTCTTTTATTGTGAATGGTGTTTTGGTGTGAATATCAAGGACGAATGGTCAAAAACAAGTTGTCCCTCTCCACCCTGCACGTGAGAAGTAATTAACAGGTAATAATAACAAACAACAAACAACATGTCACTCAACGTGGATACCAAAAAGTTTGTTTGTTTCAGAATTTTGCACAGTACTACAAGAGGGCTATTTGCGTATGGCCTTCCCTAATGTTGTCATAATAGATTAGAAGGGAGACAGCTAGTTAACAGCACCCACCGCCAACTCCTGAGGTAGAACTATATTACCGAACAGTGGGATTTTCACCATTAGTCATACAGCGAACCCACAGCCCAAAGTGCGAAGTGCGTTTATGCGGCAACGAGTCGCAAATCAAAAGTACTCGAAAAGTAAAGAGAAGTGAAACAGAAAAGGCGAGAATAAGAGTAAAGAACTCAACAATGTGAGAAATAACAAAGAACGACCCAGGCAAGTCAGAAAGAGAGCTTATCAAATAAAATCATTAAGACTTACTGTTAGGAAGAACGATATGACGTCAAGAAATGGGCAACGATGATTTAAAAACAATAGAAAATTAGATTTAGATTCGGAAATACTGGAAAGAATATAACTTAACATTTGTTAACAGGACTGTACACACTTCTTAACAAAAACTTATTGTTTACTTATTACTTTTCGCTAAATGAAATACAACACGAACATATACATGAGCTGAATGAACGTGAAGCACGAAACTTGTATATACATATATATATGTATACACTTTTTCAAATAAACTGTATTACATCAAAAGCGTATAGGCGATCACTCAGCACTGTATAGCTCTAACGAAATTATAATATAACTTACAATTTATTTATTGTATATGTAGATGTACGCACAACAAAGTTCTAATATAACAATGTAAAATTATACGTTTGTACAAAAGGTGTCATTTTAA